CGTTCCAGGGAATCGTGGCGCCGCGTGGCGTTTCGATTCTATTCTTGCTAGAGTGCCTCGCTAGAATGTCGTGTTCGCGTCCTCCTCGTCGACGCGTTGGTCAGCGATCCTCCTTTTCCAATTCTACCAGACTTGCCTCCCCCTTTTTACTCTCTCTTTCTCTCTCTTTCTCTCGCTTCTTTCGAATCGAGCCTTCGCACCGCGAGGATCTCGAGGAATCGGTGAACGTCCCCGCCCGACCTTGTCAGTCTGGAGGGGATTCGATTATTCTTTATCGAGACGTTCGTTGAACGATCGAGAGCCACGTCTCGTTCGATTTCGTGGAAATCGGAGTCGGTCGAATCGAATCGTGGATATTTTTAATCGCCGTTCGAGAGAGATCGCGACGATCAACTTTGTGACTTGTGGGAATAAAGGAGGCTGATCACCCGATTTCCTTTAATCTTCGAATTAAAGATCGAGGCGAATTTCTAAGAAATTATTATTCTATAAATTGTTATTATTGCGTTGTCCTTCATCCGATCGTCGAAACGCAGATGCTTTGAACGACGCGCGATGCTTGGGAACGTTACGATCACCGTACAAATGATTCCGTTTATCGTTTGGGATTTAGAAGGGCGATCGAGTCGTCGAGAATCGTAAGTACGCTTATCTCGCCGAGTCTCAATTACACGTATAAACGAGTCCAATTTAGCAGAAGCGATAGATACGCGACGAATGTCTTCTTTGTTCTTCGTAAAAATCGAGTTCGAGAGCTGTGGAAAATCCTGGAGAATCGAAACGCGTAACGAGAATCGAAGAGGATCGTTCACTGTACAAGGTCACTGTCGTAAGATTCTCTTATTCGAAATATTTCGAATCGATCACCCGCGCACGGTTCACCGAGTATGCGAATCGTGGGAAAAAAAGTAGAGCAGTACGTTCGAGATACGGGAGAATTGGAAAAAGATGCGGGAAGGAGAGGCACTCGCGCGTCACCGACACTGGCAGGTGGCAGCAAACCGCTCTAAGTGGCATCGACAGGAGCGTAGTCGATGCCAGTCCTCGTCTGCCAGCTCGCTCGGAAGTGATCCGCTCAATAAGCGTCGCTCTGTGCCTCGTTTAATCGGTGTCAACGAAGGACAGGCCAACGATAAACAGTCTCGCTGTCGGCCGTTACATCGATGACGTCGCTTCTAGAAACTCCTCCTCGAGTTTCTACGAGTATCCTCCCCGCTCCCCCCGTGC